ATAGAGATTCTATAGTCATCAACTTAAAAGAAATTGGAATAAACTCAGTCTAGGAACCCTTACCTTTGCCATCACCTCATTGTTCGGAATGTGTTTCACAAGTATAGCTCCTACTTGGATTCTTTAGGGTCAGATATGAAAGAAAATAAAAGACAGTATTCGGACAGGAAAAGGGAAAGCCTTCTATTACAGGATGTGGTGGTTTTTTTTTTTTAATGTGTTGATCAGGTCATTATCAAATCATTGTAACACTTAAATTATTTTATATATCAACATCATAGAATATACATGCTTTCCCATAAGCTCTGACTTCTCTTTATATAACTTCTCTTTTGCAATGGTGGTAGGTGAGTTATGTTAAGAGGGTATTGTGTGTTCTCAAGCCCATTTCTCTCCAGATTAGCTACATGAACTTGTGCAGTTAACTTCTCTGTTGCTTTATCTGTATAATTAGGATGATAACAGAAACTTACCGCAGGGCTTCTGTGGAGACTGACTGACTTGGTTGTGTGAAACACATAGACTTACACTATCACAGAAAGGATTCTAAACCTTAGCAACTATTTCTATTGCACACTTGCCTGTCATCAACTACATACTATAAGATATGAAGATTTTCACAATTTGTGTGTCTTATACAGTCTTCTGCTTTGAGTTTTATGTTCATACTATATCCACGATTAAAACATACCATTTTCAGTTGTTCTAAAGACCCCTTATCTATTGAAATGAGAACTGGACCAAGAGGGCAAGCAGCTATGAGAATAGTCATAACCCTTCACTGTAGTCAGAACTATTTTTTGTCATAGACCAAAGACAAATCATTAAAATCCATAGTTAACCAAAGGTATGACTGATACAGATAGACAAATTACTACCAAGCCACAGCAACTGACTAGCATACATTTTTGGAAATAGTCTATGAGCAGAGAAACAAAATGTACTATGCTTGAGTGAAGGTGATTAACATGGCCTAATGTGCTCTGATTTAAAAAAAAAAAAAAAAACAGTTTGGAAACCAGCAAGTCATGTCACAACAAGGAATATATTCTGTATCCCAGAGAAATGGAGACATAAGATGTGACCTACTTTGCTCAGAGTGGGACCACCCTTTGGATAATACTTTGATTCATTGACAAGGAGATGATCCAAAAATAATATATTTTCTGCCTAAACAATAAAACAAATAATGTCGGTCCCAGTAACAGATCTGCAGGACTGGAGACAGCAGTATTCTTTTGAGAAATAGTAAGTGTGACAGTGACATCTACTTTAAAAGTGTTTCTACAAAAGCTGTGTACACTCTGAAACCTATCATCATCAGTGTTTGATAACCTTTTGATAATTAGCCCAGCATTTGTGGCTAAAGCCCATTTGAACAATGACAAAATATTAATCAAGATTCCTGTTGAGAGGCTTGGGATACGGCTCAGTAGATAAAGTGCTTGCTGCAAAATATAAGTACCCAAGTTCAGATCCCCAACACGTGTAAAAAGGTAAAAATCCAAGCACGCCCAGCGCACATTTGTAACTGCAGTATAAAAAAGGTACAGGCAGAAACAAGTGGATCCCAGGGACTCACTGGCCAGCCAGTCTAGCACAAACAATGAGTTCCAAGTTCAGAGTAGGACCCTCTCTCAAAATGAATGAATGAATGAATGAATAAATAAATAAATAAATAAATAAATAAATAAATAAATATGGAGAGTGGCAAAGAAAACACCTATGTCGACTTCTGGCTGACACGCATTCATTCAGGGGCAAATATAACCATGAACATACACATGCTTATACCACATGCACAAGGGAGAGAGAGAGAGAGAGAGAGAGAGAGAGAGAGAGAGAGTGAGAGAGAGAGAAATGTCTATCAACCAGTGAACATAATAATTGACAGTGTATTGCAGAGCATAATCCATTTCAAAAGTGTACAGCTGCTTTGTTCCCTTGTAACAGCCACCAAATTTAATTTAAATGAGCAATCCATTCTTTTTAGTCTAAAGTGTTTATTAAATCTTTGGGGGGCATATTTTAGGCATCTTTAGTTTTGGGATCGTTTACTAATTTTAAAAGGCAAAAAGAGACTAGTTGTTACAAAAGACAATACTCATGCATATAAACTTTGAGGCAATATGCCTGGATGATAAGATCTAAGATTACTTAGGATCTATATCTCCAGATCATGTTGCTACACATCAGAATATTCCATTCCTTATCAATTATGTCTATAAAGCCATGCTTTGGCAGTTTCTTTCATCAGTGATAACATAATGCAGTCTATTTTAGTTTTATTTCTCATAAGATACCTCCCACTCCACACATGCCAGGGACATTTAAAAATGTGGGACCACAGTATTTTAGACCTAAGAGGATCTGAGAGGTTTCCTTTTCTTAAAGCAGTTCTTCTGTCTTGAAGGATCAGGACTTATTTCAGTCACTGGTACTGCCTCTCTACTTTCCTTGTTCCCTCTTCAAAAATCTGATTAAAACTTAGGAGCTCCTAATCCATGGCACAAAATTAAACCACCAATAACTGCTCACTGTACATTATCTGTGTTCTACAGAAACCTCCAGCATCAGTTTTCACAATGTGTTTCCAAAGAGAAGTGTGAAAAGCAAAGGTGTGAGGACAAGCTGGCCCTTCAGAGAGTCTCCCACCACACACACCACCACACTAGCCCTGTGCACACAGCGATCGGTTAAACTTGGCAGCACTTCTTTTTGAGTGTTTAACTTTCTTCTTTAAAATAATACTGAGGTAGTTTTAAAAAAGCAATCAAGGTACAAAGTGGCATGCATGATAAACACTGTGCATGCTTACACATAGCTACAGACACTCAGCTGCCCAGCTGTTAAAGAGCTTATCTTGCTTAGAATCAAAGTCATATTGCAAAGTTTAATTCCAGAACAAATGATTTTTTTCTTTTTCTTATTAGTTTGTGGTATTATAATTCATCAAATAGAGCTAATCGGAGCCAAGGATTGCCCAAAGGATTAAGCTAATTCCTTTCCTTGACATTAGTTCCAGCTAATTCATACCAGTGTCAAGGGACCCCATTTCAGTGACTGAGCTAAATTTTATTTCCTGAGCTTCATTTGCAAATATCGAATCTTATGTTCTCCAGGTTCATAGAATAAAATATGTATGTTTACAAAAGGATAAGTTCCTCACAAAATCTGGTGGACTATTTATTACTCGATATGTTGTGATCTCTCCAGTGTTAAGCTAATGCTTTGATGCCTACATATTAGCACTAAACTTTTTCCTTTATTTTAACTCCTGGCTCATCCCTGATCGTGGAGGTAGCTCAGGGATACAGGACATGCTCAGCATATTCAAGACCCAGGGTTCCATCCTCAACCTGCCACACACTCAAAGAAAGGATCAGCCTATCCCATTTTTTATAACAATTTATTTATTTTAGGGAGCAAGAGCACACAAGTCCAAGAGACAACCTTTAGGAGTTGGTTCTCTCTGTCCACCCTGTGGGTCTCAGGAATTAAACCCAGGTCCTCAGACTTGGCTGAAAGAGCCTTTGCCCAATGAGCCCTCTCACTGGCAGAAGTCATCCTACCTCAGAAAAAATTGTGTTCTTCCTATTGTTTTTGGTAGCATCCCAATCCTTGATAATTTCTTTTAGAAGATTTCTATAAATCGATCCTCTAAGACAGAGTTTAACTTACAGAAGAATTATGTGAGTATGCTAGTGTTTAAAAAATAAAGACATGGGGCTGGAGAGGTGGCTAGGTGGTTAAGGGGACTTAATGCTCTTGCAGTGGACCAGAGTTTAGTTGCCAGAATCCACATCGTGTGGCTCATATCTGTCTGTAACTGAAATTCCAGGGGATCCAGTGCCTCCTCTGCCATCCGTGGCTCTGAGTACCTGCACACATAAACACACACACACACACACACACACACACGCATGCATGCATGCACTCACATGTGCACTTACATACATACACACACATACTTAGTCACATGTGCACACACATATAAATGAATAACTTAACCTTGCACTGGCTGGTTTCCTATCTGTTGCTTGATTATACACTTTGGTGAAACCAATCAAAAGCTCCAACCTCCACAATGCCAACCTTTCAATAACATCCACGAGAAATTTTCTCGTCTTTAATACCATAACTGTGTATTTTAAAATGATTCGTGCTTAAATAAAACTTTGGGTGTATAACCATAAAGGAAAATTTCCAGGTTTCTTAATTAACTTTAAGATCTGAATAATACCAATATGAGACTCCCGGAATTTAAAGGCCAGTTTAAAACAGGCCAGCAGCCTGCACAGTGGGTTGGCAATTGTCACCCCACTTAAGAGAAGAAAAGGCAGCAGGCAGGTTGGCAGGGTGGGGCCAGGCACTGTGCTTTGACACCCACAAGGAAGGGCTTTAACTGAGTTGTGGTGAGCAGTGGGGAGTGGCTGCCTTTGTAGTGAATATGGCCTCCAGAGGAATTGTTCCTTTTCGTGTTGGTGCCTAACAAACTGTTCCAAACCAACTGCTGGGGACCTCGGTGGTGTTACTGCTCATGGGTCTCAGGGTTGCCTGGGGCTCAGCTGCATGGCTTGGATGGTTTCATTTGAGGCCCTTCCTGCAGCTTCAGTCTATGGCAGGTGGAGCTGGAATGGGCACAACTGCTTCATGCGGAAGCCTGAGCTCAGCTGGGACATCAAGACAGCCAATCCTCTCCTCAAATGACCTATCAGCTCTTCTCTACATCACTCTGGCTGTCATTTTGCATGGAGCTCAGGAGGTTAAAAGCACAAAAGGTGGGAGCTACGAGACCACCTTCTGCCTTAATTCCAGAGTCACATTTGCTACATGCTCTTGGATGAATCACAGCATTCACTCAGGTTCAGTCTGAGAAGAAATGCAGAGTCTGAGGCACTGGGGCCATCTCCAAAGGTCAGCCACTTATTATAAGGATTAAGTTTTTCTTCCTTCCATAAAAACACCAGTTTCTCGCCACTCCTTTTCTAGCTCCTTGTGTCTCTGGTGGTTTGCCGAAACCTACAAATATCACCTTCTTGTCTACCAACATGAAGAATGTCCTGCACTGGAATCCACCAGAGGGTCTACGTGGAGTCGAAGTCACATACACTGTGCAGTATTTCATGTAAGTTGCCTCTTTTCCTTGAAAGTCGTTTATAAACACAAGACTCCGACTCCTGTTGATTGTGCAAAAGTAAACTTTCTATGGCATCAAGCTCTTTGGAAAAATGTTTGGACAATTTCCATTTCTTTGATGTTATACTAAATTATAATTTGTGGAGCCAGAAGAAGCACTGAACATTCAGGCAAGAGATTCGGGCATACTTACAAAACTTGAAAAGGGGGGCAGCGAGCTGGTTCAGCAGGTTAATGTGCTTGCCAGCAAGACTGAGGGACCTGAATTCCATTCTTGGGATCCACATGCTGGAAGGGGAGAATTAACTCCAGCTAGTTGTCCTCTTCCACCCACATGTGCACTGTGGTACATGCACGGGCATGTGTGCACACACCAGTGCACGTGCAAATGCACACCAAATTGGTAACAAGTGAAATAAGTGGAGAAAAGAAGGTAGAGAGGGAGTCTATGGCTGGGCAAACAAGGCAACCCACCAACTCCAAGACCGCTAAGCTTTTGGAAATGACCTTAGCTCAAAAGAGGCAGAATTCTATGCAATGGTTTGTTTCTAATAAACCTAGCAGCAAATGGACACTTTTCACTTGCCCTTCAAGACCCTTCCCAGGCAAGAAAGAATGCAAAATGGACAAGACAGTATCCATCTTCAGAGACTAAAGGAAAAGGACAGTAAATGTGAAGCAAGAAAACCAAATTCTATAGAACCCAGAGTAAAAACACAGATGCCAAAAGCAAACCAGTGCTTTAAAAAGGAAGAACTGCTTTCTATTTAAGATTGACTTTTATTTATTTATATGTGGTGTGTGTGTGTGTGTGTGTGTGTGTGTGTGTGTGTGTGTGTGTGTGTGTGTGTGTGTGTGTGTTTCTGTGTGAGTGTATGCTCAATGTGCCCATGAAGGCCAGAAGAGAATCCAGATCAACCAGAGCTGGAATTTTCCAGCCTCTGGTGTGAGTGCTCGAAACCTCTGGAAGAATAGCAAGTGCTCTTAACCACTGAGCATCTAACCAGTTCCCATCTGTACCACTTGAGATTCATGAGTGAAAATAATTAAATTCCTCACTAGTAAATGCTGAAGTGCTAAAAAGTGCTTAAGTCTAACACTCTAAGAAGGGGTAAGTTAGTGTCTTTCATTGTCAGTGATTGATGAGATAACCCCAAGGAGCCCCAGTTTGGTGCCACAGAATGTCATAAGAAGGGGATCTGAAGTGACACACTCATCATGGAGGCCCGGTCACAGTACAGCGACAATGAGTAAGAGAGATGCAGGAAGAAAGAAGAGACAGAGGATAGCTGTCAGCCCAAGCAGATCATGACCTTACAGAAGTGCCACGAGCTACCTCAGACCCAGGAGTCTAGGAGCAAAAGGCAGACAGGGGTCCAGCAGAGGGGATAACAGAGTTGATAAACGAGTATTCCACAGAAGCAGAAGTTTAAAATTATGCACAGAACAAGCTCATTGCCTGACTCCCACTCCTACACCTCAGACTTTTAGACATTATTTTACTGTTTCTCTCAGTTCTCAGGGTCTCCTGGGCTTGGATAATAGTTCTTTTTGCTGGTTTCATTTTGGGATCTTTCACACAGCTTTCAGTCTGTGACAGATGAGGCTCGCCTAATTAGCCAACAGGTGGCTATATCCAAAGAGCTGGTAAGAAAATAAGATATACCTACCTGCTGGGGAACAATCGTTTTGTACACTATGAATGTGTATTACTCTCATTCGCTAATCAAGAGCTAACAGCCTATAGCTTGACAGAATTTTCAGGGATAGAGGATGGTGGCAGGAGGAGGAAGGGTGGAGTCACCGGGGTCTGAGGAGTCTCCAGGAGACACAGAGAAAAGTGGAGATGAACATGACATACTGAGATAAGGTACCGAGCCACGTGGTAGAACATAAATAGAAATATGGGTTAACTAAAGTTGTGAGAGCTAGTTAGTAACAAGCCTAAGCTATTGGCCTAGCATTTATAATTCATAATATTAAGTCTCTGTGTGGTTATTGAGAGACTACTGCCAGGACACATAGAAACTCCTCCTTGATTATTGAGAGTGAAAAAGGAAAGGGAATTAGAATAAAAAGCTTCTCCAATGGGAGTAAAAGAAGAATTTGTAGAATAATGGCCCGTGTTGTTTTATTAAAGTAGATAAACAACACAATCTTTTCTGTTTGTTCATTCTTGTTTTTGAGATGGGGCCTCATGTAACCAAGGCTAGCCTCTGACTTTCAATATAAGCTGAGGATGACTTTGAACTCTTAATTTCTCTATCTAGCTCCCAAGACTAGATAGAGAAAAACTAGCCATTTGGGCCAGGATGACAGGCATGTACTGAAAAACCAGGTTGTATAATAGATTTTTCTAGACTGAATGGTGACAGGAAGTATGACTAGAACTTCCTTGTTTTCTTGGCATCCATGAGGAATTGGTTCTATAAGATGACATGGCATTTGCCTATAATCTACCCTTTAAGCCACCCTAGGTCATTATGATGCATGCTACCAGCATAAATGCTATCAAAGTACTGCCATACTACAGATGTTCAGTAAAGATTCTATTCCTCCTCCAACATTTTCTGTCCACAGTTTCCGAGTCTACAGAGGTGGAACCCGTGGACACCAAGGATTGACTTCGTATCATCATTTTAGTAACTAACTTTTCAGTAGTCTTCAAAACCATCTTCTTCACTTAGGTCATAAGGAACTAATATTTCTCACAGCGACAGAACTCTTGAACTTCAGTGCTTCTTTTCATTTTACCTCATTTCTTTTGATTAAGATTCAAATCAAATAAAAATCACTGTTTTATTGGAAACGTGCTTCAGGTACAACCTGATTTCTGTCAATGTGGTTGTCTAATCACCCTTCTTCCTGTAAGTAGGATAACATGCCCAGCATCATTTACACCAAATATTTCTGGCTAATGAGCTGTAGGGTAATTTATTTCTCCCTTGGCTATACTTCCTGAATTGTATGATGGTTTGAACATTTAAAAACATGCACGACATTTACAAAAGAGAATGATCATTTTTGTCCTTGGAAAATGAATTCTGACCATTATGTCCTCGGGGAATACTCCGGGTAGCCACTGTCTAGAATCCCATTCTCATTTCCAAGGATGGACTCAGGAGCTGGTGCTTAAAGAGAGACTTCGGCTTGGCAGAGAGCAATGGCTCACCAGAGTGTCCTCACTCCTCCTTCCATTAGGTGGGGCAAAGAGCTCGCTCTGTCCTTCAGACTTCCCAGTGTTTCAGAAAGGATATCCAGGACCTTCACAGCTGTATGGGAACAAATAAGTTGTAGTGTGCAACTTTTAAAAATGAGTACTTAAAAAGGCACTTGCCCCGTGGGAGTTCTGACATGGCTGGGTATGTACTAGGTGGACAGAAACACAAGATGCAGTGCTAGAGTCAGACAGTCCTAGGTTCGAAGCTAGGCTGTGAACCTAGCTGAGTGACCTTGAGCAGGTTACACACTTTCATACTGTTTAGTGAGACTTGTTTCCAGAGCAAAATGTTGAAAGTTCCAATTATACCCACAAAATAACCTAGTGTAGAAAATGGCATAGCACCTAAAACACCAGCTTTGCACTGGGGGAAGTGATTCCAATTTCAGACAAACCTTTTGCCTCTTCTGCAAACTTGACTGGATCCCTTAGTCTTACTGAGCTTCAGTTTCCTGCTCTGTACAACTGGGTCAAAAACAATGAAGCCCACTTCCTGGGCTTGCTACACAGACGGAATGTATAAGCCTGGAGTACCAGCCTCAACTCATCACAGATACTCATAGGTGTTTGTTGTGCTTACCAGCAAGGCCCCCACAAGATTTACCCTGCAGGAGATTATTGTTCCTGTAATATTTGTCAGATCTCCCATTCAGATAGCAGTGACAGGCATTTTCTTCTTTGTCAGCATCTGCCTGGTAAGAAGATGCCCTGCCCTTGGTGGAATGAGGCAGTTTACAAAAGGGAACATAAAGGAATCAATGACAGTATTTTTCTGACTTCAAGTCAAGACCTGTTGATGGGTCAGGAAGGTAGAAGCAGGAGGATCAGGAGTTCACAGTCATTGTCAGCTACATAGTGAGTTCAAGACTAGCATGGACTATACAACGCCCCTATCTCAAAAAACCAAAAAAAACCAAAACAACAAAATGAAATTGAAAAGTAGATCAGTTTTGAGTAGCATAAATAGTATCTTTTATGGAGAGAAATGGAATAGTGTGCAGTGGTAAGCAACCAAATGCACACCAAGCAGAGAAGTTTGGGGATAATCTGGTACAACCTGTTTCTATGTGTTAGATAGTATGTTTTGTGAACTGAATCAAAATATAGCTATATATGTAAATACAGATCCACTTTTCATCATTGATCAGAAAGTCCCCAGGTGCTGTTGATAATCTGCAAGGAGAAGCTGATTAAGATCTGGCTGTATTCCTAACATCTTTTGGCAGATGTGGCATTTAAGAAATGAAAGAGATTTGCCTCGGAACTCTATTGCCACATCTTCTGCCAACTTTGGCACGGCCCAACAATGTTGCCAAATACTCCTTATCAAGACATCCTCTTCCCGTGACTTTCGTGATGAATGTTTCTGCACTCCCCCTTTTGTTGCCATTCCCAAGTCTATTTTGTGCCTACGGTAACACTCCTGAAGTTTTAACCCACACTTTGCTGGATTCCTGCCTAAGCCATCCCAAATCACTACCTCCCATTCATACCTCTCTTTTGAACCCCGAGCTCATGCATTTGGAGAACTCCGACATACCTCAAACACAGCCTGGAACTGCTGAATTTATTAGTTTTTACCTCCTCCTACCCTTCCCCTTCCTAATTTCCCAACCCCACTCTTATTTGATGATCTGTGTATCTTGTAAATCATATTCCATGCTCTTGACCTAAACAGAAAAAGATGTTTCATCATCTCTACTGTATGATCTCTTGTGTGTACTCAATCACCTGGTCTTGGCTCCTAATAGATGCCGTTTCGACATGTCCTCACTCATCCCACTCCCATCCTTGTCCATGCTGCTTGCATCTTCCACCTGGACCACAGCACTGTCCTCCAAACAACTCTCTAGATTGCTACCACCAGCACACTGGCGACGACCTCTTAGCCTTCTAAACCATGTCTTTCATCTGGCTCCTCAAAGCCCTGCTCTAATCCCTTCAGTGGCCTCCAGTACAACCCTGTCTCCTCAACTGACCTATCACTTGACCGAATTTTTATGCCACGGTCTCTCTTACCTGAGAAGTGCTGAAAGTATGCCCCTCCCCATTTTCTTTGGATGTTGAATTTTAACAACACAACAACAACAACAAAAATATGAACAACCTGCTCAATTTGATAGCAATAGGTATGGTATACTCTCAAATGCTGCATCCTAGTAAAAATTTCCCCTGACTCCTAATACTTAGTAAAGTTGTAAATTTTATGAGATTGTCAAAGTAATTTCTCTTCCAATAAAAAAGGTTAATTTTCCTTTAACCCATCCAGCAAACTAACCGCATATATGTGTATAGTAGACTAAAAACTTAATTACTAGAGATTGATCCCACAGTACATAAAAATTTTACTGTCACTGAAATTGTAGCATGCTTTCCGAATATAATTCACAGGAAAGCAAGGTGTTTATAGAAACTCTGACTCATGCTCCTGACAGCTAATAAAAAAAAATATTGACAACAGCAAAAGGGGATTTGATCATATCAGAATGACAGGCCTCTGTGTTTTGCTGAAGAGAAGGACCTCTGGTAAATTTTGTATAATGACTTTTTAAGGTTATAAAGCATGTAAGGGGGCTCATTATTAATCCATGGTTTCTTTCTTAGCAGATATGGGCAGAAGCAGTGGCTAGGTGCATCTGAATGTAGAAGCATCAGCAGGACCTACTGCGATCTTTCTGCTGAGACCTCAGACTATGAGCATCAGTACTACGCCAAGGTGAAGGCCATGCAGGAAACCAAGTGTTCCGAATGGGCTGAAACCAGACGGTTCTATCCGTTCTTAGAAAGTGAGTAATGCCACTGTCTGCTAAGCATGAACTAATCTGGATTCCTGTCGTGATACTCTGGCCTCATAGGGAACTTTATCCAGAAGAAAGTGTCTGCTTGACTCTGGTCTGTAGAGCAGGTGGAGTACCCAGCCCTGGTGTTTCATGTGGATAACCCCAGAGCCAAATCTGTAGATTGATAGGTTTGGCCAAAGCATCTTGAAGGTCTCTCTCAGATTCAGAATTAAACATAGGTACATTGTTTGTACAAGCTTTGATTTTGTTTTATCATAGCAGAGGCTATGCTTTAAAAAAATATATTGTGGGTTAGTGAGTCACTGATATGTGCCTGGAAAATTATAGGGTGCCCTGATTGCACAACCAAATCTCTTTTTTTTTTAAATTAAACTTCATATTGTGCCGTTGTTTCTGGGTGTAACTCAGAATTCAGCACAAATATTTGCTTTTTTTTTTTTTTTGCTATTTTTTTCCTTCCCTTGATACGTGACTGACCCATCCATGAAGGATGCAGACAGAGCTACCATAATGAAACACCCAAGGGCTTCCAAGGCCACAGGCAGTGGTCCTTTTCCAGGGGTCTGCCAGGTGAGAGGCTGGTAACCTGTACGCTCAACTCAGATCCAGCTCCTCTGTTGTTCAACAGACATGAGCTATTTGCATTTTTAAATTGTTTTTAAAAATCATATTTGACATGTGAAAATGATATGAAACTTAGATTTCATTGTCAGGGCTGGAGCGATGGCTCAGCCGTAGAGAGTCCATGTTGCTCTTTGCAGGGGACTTGGGTTTAGTTGCCAGCAGCCACATGGCTTACAACCACATCTAACTCCAGTTCCACAGGACCAGACACCCTCTTCCAGCCCCTCCTGGTAATGCATGCAATGTGGTACACAGACATACATGCAGGCAAAACACCCATACACATAAAATGAAAATAAATAAATTTAAAGAATAAACTATCTAGAAAATATTTTGTAAATTTCAGTGTGGGTATATGAAGTTTTTCAGGACACCAGCCCTGTTCACATATTTATACTGCTGCCAGTGTCTGCTTTCAAACCACAAACTGGTGGAGTCCTTGCAGCAGAGATCCTGTGGCCTGCAAAAAGCCTCTGGGCTTCTATATTGAAAGGATCTCCCATAAGAGGGCGGTGTCAGGTCTTTGATCCATGAAGGACTATACTGTAATAGGTTCTTCCACACCTGAAAATGCTGATACCCTCTTCCCCTCTAAGCACAAGTTGGTCCACCAGAGGTTGCCCTGACACCTGGTGAGAAGTCCATCTCTATTGACCTGACAGCACCAAAGAAGTGGCAAAGAAATCCCAAAGATGACACTGTTTCTATGCAACAAATATACTCCAATCTGAAGTACAACGTGTTTGTGTACAACACTAAGTCAAGAAGAATGGTGAGCCCTGCCTGGGTTGGGGTCTATCCTCTGGGTTTCACTTTCTGTGCCGCCGCCGCTGGCAAGGGCAATCCTGGTGCTTCGGTTCTCTTCTGAGAATGTGGTAGCTGATAATACTCAAAATAGATATTGTACAAGATAAAAATGAGAGTTTAGGAGACTTCTGGCCTTTCCCTGCAGAAGCACACTGTTAACAGTGAGATAAAGTCACAACTGGAGTGTAGAGCAATCCAGCATTTCACGTGATGAAGCTTTGTTTACTTATTCATCATCTGTCAGTTGCTTTCCAGGGATCTAAAATATATATGTATGTGTGTGTATGTATATATACATATATATTAGATTATACACCTTAGAATATATAATATTCTATATATAAACATAGAGTATATATATGTATACACATATACATACATATGAGCAAGAACACTGGACAAAGTTAAGCAAGAATTTGACCTTGAATTATTACTTAGGAGTGTTCCTAGAATTGGTCCATGACTATGTTTTGCTCAGCTAAATGAAAGTATGTTTTGGATACTATGCTGAAAAAAAACAAAGCTTATAGTGACAGGAAGGATCCAGTGGTCTCTTGGTCTTTCACTTCTTCCTAGAGCTGTTCTGGGGAGGTCCTGGGATCTAATCTCTGTTTGTACTTCCCTGCCCCAGTGGTCCAAATGTATCACCAACAGCACACTTGAGCTCCGCTGGCTGGAACCGAGCACTCTGTATTGTGTCCATGTGGAGTCATTTGTCCCAGGACTCCCTCGCCTCACTCTGCCTTCTCAGAAGCAATGCATCAGTACTTTGGAAGGTAAGCTGGAAGAGATTTTAGCTAGTTTCGGGAAAGAAACATGATAAAAAAAATACAACAGTTTAGGTAGAGTCTACTTCTCTAAATGCATTGAACTATCTGGGGCTTTGCCATTGAGTTTGGTCAGTATTGAAGAAGAAACTGTCACAACATCTGGAAACTGTCAGCAAGCCCCAGGAGTCCCCTGGCAACAATCCTCCCCAATTAACATAGCTTCCTACCTTGGGAAACAGAATAAAGACCTTCCACACATGTCACTTTTCTTCTATCCAGGCATAGTCACTCTAACCAAGGCTTCCAGAATACTCAAGAACTATGCAGCAGGAAGCAAAGCATTGTTCTGCAAACACTTTCAAACACCACTGCTTTGATTCCCCCTTGGGATACAAACTACAGGCTTCTTAGGTGGCCTTCAGACACTACCTGTCACTTGTCAGCCGCAGGCGGATGTGAGATTGTGAGAATCACTCTCCTATGGTTGCTTCTCTCTGCCACCTTCTAATGTTTTCTGAGCAAGGCTCCCAGGGAACTGAAGTTCTGAATGCTTTTTTTAAAAGACCTGGAGTTATGAGCCATGCATTTGTATAATGTGTCTGCCCTACAGAGAGAAAGACTCAAACCCTGAAAATGGAGGAAAGATAGACCCTCAAGTTCCCCTGCATCATTAGATGGTCTTCATCCGTTATCATTCGGATACTCCCTTCTAACAAATGCTCACAACCTCTTGCCTCAGGTGCTGGTTCTTTCCCCATCCCTGACTAAGAACTCACAGCCCTTACCCAGTCAGTGTTGACACACACCTTTAATCCCAGCAATTAGGAGGCAGAGCTAGGTAAATATCTGAGTTTGAGGCCAGCCAGGTCTATAAAGCAAGTTCCAGGACAGCCGAGGCTATGGAGAGAAAACCTGCTCGAAAAATAGGAAAATAACAACTCCCAGCCCTAGCTCTACTCCTGCCTCACCTGCACCCCCATTGCTTTCCTCTTCCCTTTCAGGATAAAATAGTCCCCAGGAAAAGGAAAAGAGTGTTGAAAACTAGTATGAACAGTAAGTAGCTTTACTTCCGAGTCTCATTTTATCACGTCATCTTTTTGACAAGACAGGATTCTCTACCCTAATACAAATAAAATTCAAATGCTAAGCAAGCAGGAAAGGGTCACAAAGCAGGCTGGAGGAATCAATTTTGTGTCTGGAATAAGTGCTGTGTTTCCTAACACTTTGATCAGTGCCAAATGGTAGGAGTGCATTCCCAATGGAGCTCATTTACTCAGCTGGCAGAGCTAAGGCAGACAAGAACAGCTCAACCAGCTTCTTCCCAGTAAGAACATGGAGCCCATTTCCTCACCAGTGCAGTAAAGGGAACAGATAGAGGCACACCACTTCTAGTATTGAAGTTCCCTATAATATTCCACCCAATCAATCACCAGAGAGACATTCCAAGACACCGATTTCTTTATTTTAAAAAATCAATTTTATCTCCTCTGGGATTATGCCTTGAAAAAAAATTCTGCTCCTGAAGTTTCTCAACTAAATCCCCAAATGAAAATGGAATGTATTAGGTTTATTGTAGCAAATGTGCTAATACACACTTAGTACTTAACCAGCAATTGCCATGATCTTCTTAGGCTGGATAAGCCTGCTCTAGTGGTGCAATCAGGGCTGTGCTGAGGGCTAATCTGCCAGGCAAAGCAGAACAACAATCACTGCATTTGCTTCACAGTCTTGGCACATTTCTGTGTAGGAAGATGAGCACTCTCTCCGGGGACTGTGGAGTGGGTAGAAGAGTCTTCAAGGGATACCCATGATGGATTTTCCCACTGGTGTGGTTGATCGCTATCATAATACATCTGTTTCTCATCTATAGATGGTAGTTAGGGGGATAGATGCTATGCTGTTTTCCCTCCAGACAGCTAGCGCACCCAACATCCACATGAATTAGAATGCTCCTGTGACACACTGGCTGATTTTATTAGTGTATCAGGAATGTTCTAGGGTTTTTCGGTTGCTGCTAAATGTGCATGTTTTGAGGGTGTGTGTGTGTGTGTGTGTGTGTGTGTGTGTGTGTGTGTGTCTGCAGCACTTAGAATTCACCAGTGAAACAAAACCAACAGGATAGATAGATAGAAGAGAGATTTTTAAGGAGCCAGTTCTTGTCATTGTGTAAGCTGGAAAGCACAAAATCTGTAGGGTAGGCATCAAGTTGGGGACCCTAGGGGCACCTGGCATTGCAGTTCATCCCCAAAGGCACGTGGTCGCAGAATTCCCTTCCTCAGCTTCATCAGTCTCTTTTTCTTAAGAGCATCAGTTGAATAGATGAGAACCATCTACATTACAGGGAGCAATTTTCTTTCTCATAATCTACTCATTAAAATGTTAAATCTCATTTAAAAACTATACATCTAAAGAAGCATCTAGAGTGGTGTTTAGCAAATATCTATAGCCTACACACATTGAAATATAAAATCAACCAGCCCATCTTCCAAGTAGTCCCCACAAGCTTCACAAATTTGTCAGACACAATGGAGCCTGCATCAGCTCTGTTGTGAGCCAGGGTATTCCTCTTAAATCTCTTCACTAAGCCTTTTTATTATTGAATAGACATTTCACTCGTCATGAGCCTACAGCACAGCAAAACTAAGAGTGAGTTATCACCCTCCCATAATTATCCCTAAGCTTCAGTCCTTCCTGGAAGGACTGTGCCACCAGCCCAAGACAATGAATCCCAAAAGTAGCATGGAAGAGATTGAGATCTTTTGTTTTAACTTAAATTTTTTAATCTTTTTTTGAGACTTTCATATGTAAGCACTGTATTTACACACTTTAACCTTTTCTTCTCCCACTACAACACTCCTTCTATGTCCTGCCCTGTTACTTCTCAAATTCATGACTTCATTTTCTTGTTATTCATTCATTCTCTGTGTGTGTGGGTGTCTCTGTGTGTCTCTGTGTGTCTCTGTCTCTCTCTCTGTCTCTCTGTCTCTCTGTCTCTCTCTCTCT